AGGACTAGCTAGATTCTGCCTCCGTGACAAGTGCTGTCGAAGCTAGTCTCACCGCGTGACAATTAGCTTCCTAACGTAAAGGCAAGGCACGTGGAACCATTTTCGGCCAGTTCCATCGACCTTCAGCTTTAGGCCTAGTAGAATCATGGATCCATGACAACGAAGAAAAGTCGCAAAAATTGAAGGCTCGATGGGCGTAGCTTGCCCAAAACCACTAGCCCTACAAAATTCACCACAGTTTTGACTTTTTACTGCCAGTCAGTAGGTGAAAGTTTTGTTTTTGTTGTTTTTATTTATTTATTCATTTTTCTAAATGGCCAAATTCCAAGCTAGAAGAGACTTTGGTCGACCAAACATGGTCGTACTATTCAACACGTAATTATTTGGCAAAACTATACGTTAAACCCCTGAATTAGTTTCAAATTTATTATTGAACTCCCAAACTTTAATTGATACATGTAAACCCCTATGATCTGAGCAATTTAGTTTTTATTCTTATTGCAATTTAACCATTATTCTTATGATCATTAAAGAATTAAGGGTTAAATTACTTAAATTACTCAATTTAACCAATCTTTTCCCCCTTTTCTAAACACGTTGTTCCCAAATAAAACCAAACATTGATTCGATTCTCTCTTTTATCTTTCATGTTGAAGTTTAGTTTGACAGTATTGTCTTGTAATTATAGTTATAAAATTTTTAATCTTTTAATATTTAAAAATATATAGAAGTATTTAGTATATATTTTTTAATTAATATTTTTAATAATTAATTGTTAGATTAAAGATTTTATTTGCAATAGATTATTCTCTTTTTTAATTAATATATTTTAAAAACTAATGATTGAATTAAAAATTTTATTCGTATAAATCACATATATCAAATTTTCAATTAATCTAGCAAGTCTAACTAACTCTTCAATTATGTAAAATTTAATACCATTAAACATTTGTTAATAAATAAAGTTTGTTTTAATCAAAATGATATATTCTTCACTAATCCAGCATTAGCTTCCTAACGTAAAGGCAAGGCACGTGGAGCCATTTTCGGGCCACTGGGCCAGATCCATCCACCTTCAGCTTTAGGCCTAGTAGAATCAT